GAACATATTAGAAGTGTATGCGATCCTAATACATTTGACTCGTTGTTGCGGTTGAAATTGAGTCTAAAAGTTGTTGCGGTTGAAATTGAGTCTAAAGTAATGAAATTGTAAATAATAAACTTTTTATGTTGTATAGCTCCCTCTCATGGTCAAGCAGGGCGCGACAAACCCGCTTGCCCGACGTCCCGGGGCAACCAAATTGAGCCGTCGGGCAAGTAAATCAAATTATCACTTGCCCGATTCGGGCAAGTGATACTTTTACAGTAATTTCCTAGTGTCCAAGAACTCTACCATTCACCCGTCAACTTCTTACCCGTCGTCAAAATCCAGAAGCAAAAAAGCGATCGTTCCGATTTCGAAAAAACTTCACAGACAGCTAGCCAGCTCAGCTAGCTCAGCGCGCATGCAACAGTGACACTTCAAGCCATGAATGCCGCTCCGCCTCCACGCACGGCCGGCCGTGAGCTAGCTAGAGACAGCTAGCGCGATCGTACCAGCTGCGAGCTTATTCGCGCTCTCTCTCTCTAGCTCTGCAGGCACCGACAGGCCTTTGCTATTCTCTGATTGCCGATTGGTTGAATCACGCCAAATATGACGTCATTATTCTAGGGAAATGAACACGTGCGAATCGGAATGGAATAAACAACAGGGATTTTCTAGTAAGTACAAAAAGTCAAATGTTTGATATTTATTCATAATGACTGTTAATGATTGTGAACATATTATTTAAAACTCGCTGCTCATATAAATCAGATGAATGTTTTTGTCTCGTTTTCAATTTATTACTGCGGTCTCAAGATCCGACCGAGCGAGTCATTTTGATAATAGTATCGAGACCCCCAGAATATAAGCCGTTGTTGTTTTGTTTTCATGGTTTTAGCGACGTTGTTTAGTCTAGTTTTCGCATACTTATCCGAGATTTATCGTAAAATATCTTCAATATTATTATTTAGTAAGAATTTACAAATTTTGGCATGATATTTATAGCAGTGAATGATGAAATAAAAATGTCCGTACTTTATTTAAAATAGTTGATTACCCATTATTTACATGACGTTTCTTGATGGAAGAGTTGACCCAAATTATTAACAGCTGAAAATTAGCCTACGTTTCCAAATGACAGCGGCTTGCACAGACACACATGTGATGTTGCACCATGGTACATGTGGCTACCATTAATGACATGTTTGTATCATATTTTTTACAACAGGGTCATTATGCTTTTTTACATGACTGAATATTAAAAACTTAAACCTGCTTGAACCATTCTACCTTGCCGAGATTCATGTGAATCTGATTATTTATGGAGAATCAATAAAATGCGTTTTTTAAACCTTCAACCATCCTTTGTTGACCATTTTCTTTGACATATTAGGTTATTATTCAGTACAGTTACACTGTACATGTATGTGCATTAATTTGCTATCTAAAACACTAACTTATCATTACGAGATAATAAATGCTTTAACCTCGAGTCCTTTTTCGCTTTAAAGTTTTGGGCAAGTGGAAATATTGTTTGGGCAAGTAAATTGAAAACCCACTTGCCCGACAGGGCAAGTGGTGAAAAAAATTCTTGTAGCACCCTGGGTCAAGATATTAATTAAGCTATAAAACAATGTTTCTTGACTAAAATCGACCAATTAGCTATTCCCTTTTGTAAATTATATACCACAACTACATATTCTGAGATTTTCATGGTCACAGCTACCATTGTACGGCTGTAGGCGCTAATTGAAATTTATCAAAATTTACTGGGAGCACCAGTAAATTTTTCTCGAAAGGAGAAGTGTTTTAGGGGCTAATTTTTCTTGTGCTTATAATACATCTACAGGGGCATCCAAATATATCAAAATTGTAAAGGATCGCTTTCTACCCAATTTTCAAATTTCCCAAAACTTTGTATTACCTTTAACCTTCATTTGTGTTGGATGATGCATAATTCAGGCATATTCTACCTTTAAGAACAAAAAAAATGGAAAGTTGGTAATACAATCTTGAAATATCTTGTTCAGCAAACACAATTTTCAATAATAATAAAAAATACATTTCTGAACACAAGGGTTACCAATTACAATCGAACGTGAACATTTACAGCTTGCCACATAAAAAGTAAAATTTTCTTTCTGTGCCCCCATTTCAGATGATTCAATTGTCTTTTCCCAGATATTCACTGTCAGGATTCTGTGAAAGCACTGTCTTGTGAACTCAAGAGAATCAAAACTGGCTTTAATTTGATCCTATCCTCTTGCACTTCTTGATGAAGTCGCCTCAGACACCTCGATCTTGATCAATACATTTCCTGATATCCAGGATAAACTTTGGAAGTGCAGATATGAAAGATGTGAGGGTGATCCCTGCTTTGTACACAGTAATCCACATCTTTGTTTTAAAAAAGGAAGATAATTCTAATAAAATTATAGGATGCCCATTTCTATTTCAAACGAGCCTACATAAGAATGATTATGATACATTTTCTTTCAATTCCTATCATTCGTGTTATACCATGTCTGGTTAAACATGTTTAAAATACGAATTTTAATTATGTAATCACAAAAGTTGTTCTTATCAACTCTACCAATATGAAGAACCTATTCAATGATGTCTAAATATATGATTGGTTTACAGAAGTGGGAGGAAAGGGGGATAGAAAAGAAGAGAAAATAAAAGATAAAAAGGTGCCAACACTGCAAAACTACATAATACATCTTACAAGTATATTGTTTAGAAGCTCCTCATTCTCTCACTTCAATTTCTTGGGGGTATATCACTGGAGACAAAAGACTGTGGTGTTAAATTAAATCTTGGGCCGAGCAAATTCAAGTTCTCTGCTGAACTAGTTCATACCACCCACATTGAATCATTATAAGCTGAAAACCATCCTCAGAACAAGGTGTCTCCAACCCACACAAGTAGATGGTCAACCAAGGTCTTTAAATCTTCATATTGTTCATTGAGAGCCAGAGAGCTTTTAAGTCCGTTTAAATACGACTTAATACCCTTCTGGCTTATAACTTAGGTCTTTAAATCTTCACAATCTGTGTATGATCTGTTGACAGCCACAGAGACATTATTACAGAATATGGGCCAATGCCCCTTTTGCTCTCAACGCATGAAATGCATCTCATGTTGAATGTGGTACAAAAGCTGAGCATCTTTTGATGTGATCACATTTAAAAATGCATCAACACAGAAGTGACATTGTGTCTCAGCAACTGTATAATTAATATCCTTCTGCTATGCGATACAAGACACCATATGGGCTAAGCAGATTTCTTGGAAATACTGTACTTGATGTGTTGTGCAGGTCTGTTTCTTAGAAATCAAATTGGGTTATGATGTAGCTGATCAAGTAATGTTCATGTTGTACATGGATGTTCTCATAATGTAGATCTGAGGTACCTATTCTGTCTTCAAATTCTCAGAGTATGTACATGTAAGCCTAGAGATGCACTGTGATTATGGCCAGGTTCCATCTCACTCTACAGCCATGAAGTCAATATTTGAATCTCCTTTGACAGTTCGTTTGTTCAGTTTGATAGAACTTTTTTAAGGTTCAAATTACATTCTTTCTATTCCTCCATGAAAAAATGTCCTTGCTTTGCATTTGATTACAGAATATATTGTAACCAAATTGACCAAAACTACTTAGCTCTCAGAGCATGTATATACAATTCACACATTTTCACTGTCACACTATCTTCATCACTACCACCAGTACCATCAGCATCCTATCACAATAATGTCATTAAGTCCATATTATCACAACAAACATCATCGTCATCATCACTATCACCATCAATACCATCACCATCACCACTATCAACACCAAATACAATGTTTATCATAAGTGTCTTATTATTGCATAATTAACACACACAAAAATCTATTGCGACAAAAGATACGAGCTAAACATTTGCATGTATTCAGATTTATACTAAAGTAACATTAGTTGCCACCTTCTTTCTTGGTGGTAGTTTGTGTACACATTTCATGTTCTACCAGACAAATTATGAAGACACTGTAACTTTTGCTCCCCCCCCCCCCCACACCTTCCTCTCTACCAGCTCCACTAGTCATCTACCAGCAAGTCATCCTTCCCCTAAGGGCTCCTAATCTGTTATCAATAAGTTTCACAACCAGCCAGGCCTCTCTTACAGGGGATGGGATGAATCTGGCCAGCTTCATTCTCCAGAGGGGTGATGATTAATAGGCCATTGAGCAACCAGTCGACCTTGGGGAGGCATCTATGCAAATGACCTGATAAATAGCCTGCAGATACTCCACCACTATCTGCTCACAGTTGCACTCTTGATGTATTAAACATGTGCCAAGATCTGCAACACTTGAGCATCCATCTACATCTCATGTACGATTCATCACTGGTAGTAGTAGTAGTAGACTTTATTGGATAAGGTTCTTTCATATTCTTAATCATATTCTTTATCATAAAATAGAAGTGATAACTATTCCATATTAAGTGCCTTTGTTACTTATAGATAAAATCAAATAGGTACTTTTGATGGTGTTGTGTAATATGAGAAAATCAAAAAATTCTGACTATCTACTTAAGATGTTAAACTACACCACTGTTAATAAGCAGAAATAAGGGGTTATTATTTTTACAACAGATTGACTGCAATGCTATTCAAAAGTTGAAATTGTGGCACAAATCATCAACAACCAGCTAATATATGTTCCTATTACCTTAATTCAATATCACTCAATACATGCAAAGCCTGCCCACATGGGTCTCTTGCAAAGGACTTTCACACTGGTGTTTACTTGGGTAAACACAATTATCTATAATTGTAGAGAAACATGCCATCTGGGTCCCACTGCTAGATGACTCAAATTTTCTGTCCTCTAATTGAGCGAAGGAGACTTTGGGTTAAAGCTGGCAAGGATGCTAATGTTATGATATCTATTTTTCTCTCTCTCTCTTACCCCTCCGCAACGCTTCAACATTCATCACCCACTCCCAACCTTGACTCAGCTCTCACCTTCTCTTGATGCTTGGCCTTGCTTTGTTGGGACAACTCATAAGCCATCTGCTGCTGCTCCTGAAGGCTCATCGGCCGAGATGCACCACCGCTCATCTGTCTACCGCCCCCTATTGGCACGCTGTTATTTCCTTCCTGTTGATGCTGTAACGCACCGGCTGCGTTTGGGTAGGGAGTCCGATTGGAAACAGTGAGGTTTTGCAGGGCTTTGATCTGGGCACTGTAGGCGTCGTCCGACAATCCGTTGGCCAAACTGTGGCTGCTGGTTGTTTTTGAGGCATTTGTCGGTCCATTGAGCTCTGAGCTATCTTTAGAACTTGTATCCGTCGTGAAGCTGTGAGTTCTATTTAAGGCAACACCGCCGTGACTGGATCGGCGTATGTGGCCCGTTTGCTCCTGACTCGCTCCACCGCGTCCCTTCTCGTTGAGGACAGCGCTGCTCACGCGACTGTTACTTGCGCTTCTCTGTGGCACTGTACTTCCCGCTTGTGCATCCACTGCAACGGCTGTTATAGAGTTCTGACTGGGGCTTCGAACATGGCCGACACTACTAGAGCGTGATCGGGCGCTACTCCTACCAAGGGTGCTGGTCAAGACTGGGTTAGATCCATAACCAGTTACAGGGGTAGCCTGAACAGGCCCCTGGGGAGGGTTGGTCAGTCCAAAGTGCTGTTCAACATACTGCTGGGTGAGTAGGTTCTGGTTCTGGACACTGGATGAAGAGTACTGACGTGCCGCTTGTCGCTTGGCCAGTCTCCCGAGAGCCTCTTGGATGGCCTGTTGACTACTCTCAGAAAAATGCCTCGCAGCTGTGTAAGAAAAAACAAACAAAAAAACAATCATTTTAGGAAATGATGAATGAAAACAAACATACAAGTGATATTTTGAGAATATTTTGGAAAATGCAAAAACAAGACAAAATCTCATATTCTAATGTCTACAATATATAGTTGACAGTCATTAAAAGTTATAATTCATGCAGTGCAAAGGGAAAAAGTCATATTGCACTAGGGCTAAAAGAGAAAAAAAAGTACATAATTGGGGAAAATGTATACATTCGACCAAAATGGTGATCAAAGGTGAAGTCATACTACATGTTATTTAGAGAGAAGGGGGGGCAGAGAGATAGATAGATAGATAGATAGAGAGAGAGAGAGAGAGAGAGAGAGAGAGAGAGAGAGAGAGAGAGAGAGAGAGAGGGGGGGGGGCAGATGGGGAAGAGGGAGTAGAGTGGGAACACTTTGAAGACTATCTGAATAGCAACAAACTGTCTACTTTCTACACAATAAGAAGTAGAGAATACTGACTTTTTGACATGAAGTAGCTCACATGTATAACACATAATCTTGCAATGAAACATTGAGCAAATACAGGCTTCTTTGTCACACCTTCACAAACAATCACACTTCTTTTCTTTGAAAAGCTCTTACACATTGAAATCTTTCCCTTAAATCTGTTCTCTCCATGTTCTGAGACCAGACAGACTTATGACTTGGAGGGGAAGATCTTTGGAAGGTAATGTGTCCCTAGTGGAAACCTAATCATCTCCAAGGAGTGAGATGCTATTGTGTACTGACCTTCATGGGTCATAGCAGTGATTGGAGAAACTGATCGCCTAGCCTATCGCTGCTCTCTCTTGTTTGGGTAAAGTGCCCCTGGATTCTAATTCTCCTTTCTTTCCTTCCTATTTCACTCTTTTTTTCTTCTACTTTTCTTCCTTTCCTCCTTCACCAATTCTTTCCTATCAAACTTTCAACATGCTTTTTCTTCATATTCCAATAGCTGTCTAGCTTCTACTCCATCTCACAAATATATGTTTTCTGTATCTTAAATGTACCATCTCCTCTGTTATACATGTGTCACATAACTGATCACTTTTGTTGTAAATTTCTTTCAATTGCTATTTACCATGGTATGATGAGACTTACACATTCTTACCAGTTATTAGCTATCATTTTCATTCACTTCACTGCGAAAGGAAAAGCAAATACATTTGACATGGTTTCCCTAAATCACATTGGCTTCATTAATCTTGTACTGAACAGCAAATCATTTGGACATGTAAGTCAATTCTAACAAGTGAGAAAACTGGGGAAACTTGGAAGAAATCCTTCCCGATCATACACACCCTCTTAAACACACCTACATGTACATGTAATCAATCTTAGACCCCCCCCCCCCATCATATATGATTGAATATGAAAATCCTCCCGAAGTTGAGAAATAATTTGCATTCAGAATGGGATTTTGTCTCATTTTCATCAAATAGTTGAAAAGGATATCAGATCTGAATAAAATGCTAGGCCTATAATTGCATGGTAGCCCTATAATGCCATTAAAATAAAAAATTAAGTGTGAAAGGTGCACCAACTTAATAATAATAATAATAATACATTGTACTTCTATAGCGCTTAATACAATGTTTCTAAGCGCTTTACAAAATTGGCAATACTTAGATAATAATACATTCAGTATCATATTTACAAACTATAATAACTATAACTTAGTGCCCTTTTTTAGTCCTTGATCAACCAAACATAAAGTAAATACAGAAATACGAGATGAAGAAAGAGGCAGAGTATTTCGTTTTAGAGCAACTCCAGTCCCAGACTCGGGAGCTCAATCCAATACAGAATTGCTAGTGACAGCTGACCAATGAGGGTGATAATTGAATAAACTTGTAACAGGGGAGGGATGGCCGTGCTTATCGGTGACGAGAACGATTTCGCAATGTTGCGGCTTTCACAAACCGATGTTAAGGTGATCAAGAACAACTCATAATGAAGAAAAAAAAATGAAAAAAGGTCGGGGGAGGGGGGGGGGGGGATTTGAAATCTGGCAGTCTCTGCTGAAACGATTGTCAGGGCTTGTATTGGTATGTGTTCATGAGAATACTGCACGCTGGTGTGCAATGGGACAACTCAAAACATATGTTAGGGGATTGCTAGCAAGCAGGGTGGCCCTCTAATGCACTTTTTTGTCCAAATATGAACATTTTGAGCATGAGCATCTTCTTGGCATGACATTGAACATGATTTCTTACTGAAAGACCAAATCATTTGTGACATCTTATATCTTTAAAAAAAAATAATCCTTGAAGGAAATTTACTGAAAGCTTTTCCATTATAACGTACATCAATGTATACATCTAGATAAATCCCCCCCCCCCTTAAAAAAATTGATAAAAAATTTCTTTAAAAGTCAAATACCGGTACTATATTCCATGTACCTATCTTTCATCAACATTTTTTTCCATACACAGTAATCAAAGAGAAGTGTTATTGAAAAAGGAACATTACGTTAACATTTTGATAAACTAATCCTAATACTTAGGAAAAAAAATACCATTGACAAATAGACAACCTAATAGACAACCCCATACCTTCTTTGTCTGTAAACATGTACCGTAGTTTAAAAAAAATTAATGTATTTTGAAACATAAACAAGAGCAAGTTAGAGAAAAACTATTCCATTCCAGTCAGCTAAAAATGCACATCAGTGACACAAACAAAGTTGTCAGGTTGAAAATCTATCTCATAAATCATGTCTACATTGCTCATACATTCCCCAGGCATAATAACATGTAAGGAACATGTCAGGTATGCTAGATATGTAAGTGGTTACATGAAACATACACTACTTTGCATGATGGAATGCCACTAACTGGGATACTGTCATTTTGGATATGGTATAAATGGATGACAATGTGAGGTATTTTAAATGGAGGAAGCATTTCATGAAATCATTACTTTAGTATCCATTTCTTACAGAGACAAAACAAAATTTGGGTATAGGAAATTTTGTCTTTATGATCTCAGGGATTATGTATTATCCCTTTAGAAATGCTACTGCAAATCCAGAACGTTTCATATATTTTAGTGACTATAACGACAGTGATAAACTTTCACAAATTGCAAAAAAATTCAATGTAAACATCCAATCATTTCAAAGCATCAACTTTTGAAATTCTTGACAATTCACAAAACCTGTGAAATTTTCATTTTTTAAAGATTTTCAGAAATAAGCACAACACACATTTTGTAATGATACAGCTAAGAATCTATTTGGATACATATATCTGGAATACCAAGAGCTTTAATAATAGAAAAGAAAAGCCATATAAGGTATAAAACCTACACCCGTTTGTTCAATATTGCACGTATGTGCTTCTACCTGCCTAGTAATCGCATAATAATCTGACCTGGTCATCACCACGCCTCCACCACCACTTCCATTGTAGATGAAAAATGGAAACAAGAGAAGGTGGGATGAGGAATTCTGAAGTACTTTTAATGATGATGAAATCAAGTAGAAGTAAATCTTGTCTTTCTTTGGGGTTGGTACCTGATCACCGAGGGGTTGGAAGGTCGGAGGGGAGGAATAAATTATCTTGTATTCTCAGAAAATCAAGATAGAGAATCCTCTGTAACAAGTTATTAACAACTTTAAAGGCCCACTGCTAGAGTCGAAAATAAGATATACATGTACCTGTACCTAGATTGAATGGTTTTGCAAAAAAACTGATGAGGGAGCTTCTACAAAGTTGCAAGCAAGAAATTGAGAAAAATCTACAACAAAGTCCATGATATTTCATTGATGTTCAATGACAGTTATATCAAAGAATTTTGTCAACTGGGTCCTTCTGATTATTCTATTAAATGGACATCATAATAACTCATCAAAGCATGTTAAGCATATTTTTTGGGGTAAAATATAGTATCAGTTTGAAAAAGTTAAATCTTTCAGAAGAAGTGAAAGCTTTAACCTCAAATGCTTCCCCAAATGTGTAGCAATGCCAGACAATACAGACTAGATCCTTAAGAGAGCACACCATTCTCATCCACACTCAAGGCAGCCCAGCCCATCATATATGTGGTGTAGGATATATATACCCCCACAAATCAATCAAGAAACTATTCCAAGCATCCCCTCAAAATGATATGAGCTCCTTTTTCGATGAGCACCAAAACTACCACAAGAACTAAATCAGGCAAGAAGTAGGCCAGGTGAGTGGAACAGACGGAAATTATAAATCATTTGTGCTGTACGGTGATGCAGAGTGGGTAACCAGAGAATAGCAAAATAAACTTGGTATTGTTTCTGAGCTTTGATGCAAATTCCAAAGTTTATGTCACAAAGTTGTTTTATTGCTTTTAGAAGAATTAGCCAGTGGTTAAGCCAAATGACTATACTATAGACATCCAGGATGTCAGTTATATTACCCTGTTGCCCAAGTACTAATAACATTTTAGGGGCAATTCCATTCCCAGAGTTTGGGTTTTTTAAATAACCAATAAAAATAAGACCACTGCAATTTTGTAATAAAGTTTATAAGATTAATGTGGTGGTGCTCTTTGCACTTCCCTTCCAGCTCCCAGTGCATTTACAAAATGCACCACCGACCACCCCCCCCCCCTAAAATAAATAAATAATAATAACACACAACAAATTGAAAAAGTTTTTGCCAATACTACCCACCTTGATTTTCAAGCACATTATGACAAATTTTAACACATCTTTACACAAAAGTGTTACATAGTAGTATATTCAAAGTAGCTCATTGTTTAACCATTAATACAAATTTAACAAAAAATATTATTTCACTTTTAGTAGAAGTTAGAACATATAAGCTGCTATTTTAAAATCACATATCTTACAGTTGTAATCATGACAACTGAAATTTCCAGGAACTGCACTGAAAAATAGTGGATTTCAAGGCTTCTACATTATCTGAAGCAAAGTATGTGAAATATTCTGATCAAATCCTTACAATGTTGCATCCTATTCTTCATGCCTTAAATAACATAAT